TCAGACAAATGGCTGTCTAGACTCTTCTTAAAAACTTCTAGTGATGGAGCACCCACAATTTTTGGTGGCAAGTCGTTCCACTGATTAATTGTTCTCACTGTTAGGAAATTTCTCCTTAGTTCCACGTTGCTTTTCTCCTTGATTAGTTTCCACCCATTGCTTCTTGTCCTGCCTTCAGGTGCTTTGGAGAATAGTTTGACTCCCTCTTCTTTGTGGCAACCCCTGAGACATTGGAACACTGCTATCATGTCTCCCCTAGTCCTCCTTTTCATTTCTCTGCTCAAAAAAAAGAATAAAAGTATCCCAAACAGACATAGCCACCACAGGGCATTTCACTCCCTTTCTGGGGAAATGGTTCCACTGGGATTCTGTCTTTGTGATATAAATTTGAAAAATTAAATAGTTAAAAAGCTACTCCCCTCCACCTAAATGTTCACACATTCGTTTCTTGGAACCATCCTTCGCCATACAGTGCAGGGTTTGTAGTTTAAGCCCTTGTGGAAGATTTTAGTTTGAGGGGCAGGGCCAAGGTTCAACAAATTTATTCCTTTTATTGATTTAAATTTATCTGCCGCTCATCTTGTTTTAAAGGGACTCTGGGAGACAAATAGAATTAAATAAGCTGCCACAAAAGTTTCTGTCGTCATCTCTTGGTTAGTCTGGCACCAACTGTGACATCCTGTTTGTTCCCCCATTTGTAATCGACTAAATACAGCTATTCATTTAAGAACTGAAAAGCACGCTTGATTTTATGTTAATATCTTAGGCAGAAGAGTCACGGGGCAGTCTTCCCAAGCAGGTTTTTTTAAAAAAAGAAATAAAAATGGAGAGGCAAAGGAAGGGACTAAACAATCTTAATCATTTTTCTCAAAGACGGAGAAGACAGACGCTGTTTATTTTAGGCATCAGCATGACTTTCAAAAGAAGCTAGGAAGAGAAGAGCTGTTTCATTCTTATTAATCATGCAGTTATGTGGCTGGCGTGTTATTATTAGAGGAACTAATCAGCTGATATGTAAAGTATACCTCTCCTGCACACAAATTATATTTGCAGCTGCCTAATGCTAGAACAGCTTCAATAAATATAAATAATAAATATACTCTGGAAGGAATAAATCATCCCTTATTTTCCAGATCTTGGAATAAATATCCTGATGCCTTGGCAATGACAATTAGCTACATTTCCAACAGATGGTGGTAATTACTGAAAAGAAACTCTACTAATTCTACATGTTTTTTTAAAAGAAAGGCTATTATCTTTCTGAAAGTAAGTAGCTAGCGTTCCGGAGAATGCACTAACTTTCTACTTGCAAAGAATCCTTTTCAACATTCAGCTAAGCATTGCAAACTGACTTTCACTTCACATTTGCATAAAATACTGAAAACTTTTTTTACAGCTTCGTTCAACCAACACTGAGTTTTCACAAAGGAAACTTGTGCATAATTCTGTCTTCATGGCTTCCCACTCAGATGGAACATGCCCCATGTATATTCTAAGGTGGTTTCAATATCTGAAGGGCTGGTATGGGGACTGCTATCTAGAAATGCAACATCTATTACAAATAGTCCTCAACTTACAGCTATTCGATTAGCCACTGTATGCAAAGTTACAACACCACTGTAAAAAATTAATTACGACCAATCCTCACACTTATGATTGTCGCAGCATCACTGATCAAAATTTGGGTTACTGGCAGCCGGCATGTATAGGTAGTCCTCGACTTACAACAGGTCCTTTAGGGATCATTCAAAGTTACAACAGCACTGAGCAAAATGACTTATGACTGTTTTTCATACTTATGACCGTTGCAGCATCCCCATGATCATGTGATCAAAATTCAGATGCTTGGCAACTGGTTCGTATTTATGACCGTCGCCGTGTCCCAAGGTCATGTGATCACCTTTTGCGAACTTCTGATGAGCAAAGTTGATGGGGAAGCCAGTTTAACTTAGTAACTTATCGACTGCAGTGATTCACTCAACAACTGAAGCAGGAAATCGTAAAGCAGGGCAAAACTCACTTAACAAATGTCTCACTTAGCAACATAAATTTTGGGCTCAATTGTGGCCATAAGTTGAGGACTACCTCTATTTTAAATAATGCCATCAAGGTTTGAAGGAGAAGCAGGACAGTTTATCTATTACTATCTTTACTAAAACTTTCTTCACCACCCTGATCTCTGTGAAATGTTCTCAACCATCCTGTAAGGTAGGAAAGATCAACGTCAACGCAGACAGGTAAAAACCAACTACCTCCCAAATCCAGCCATTTGATTAAAGACTTCGGGCACATTTTTGCTTGCATCAGCCGAAGCCTCCAAACAAGCGGTAGATGCGATACAGATGTGGGCAGACTGGAACTGGAGTTTTATTTACAAAGCGGGATTAAGGTTAAGAACCCGAGTTTACCAAGATCAAAGCAAATTGCCTAGTGTTTGGAAGCCGGCTACGAATCCCAGCTCTAGCCTTCAATAAAAATTAACTTTTTTCTGCAAAGCCTGCCACAAGCTTTGTAGCACTTCAGCATTTCCCTCAAACAGTTTGGGGCAGATTAGAGGGGACAGGCAAAAAAGAGCAGAACCACTGAGACCAAACAGGAATCTTGGCGTTGCCCAATCCTCAAGAAACTTTCTCCAATGCTCAAGAACTACAAAGCATTTCTCAAAAGCATGTTTGCTGATGATAATGCACCAGGATTCTCTTACTTCAGGAGACCAAAATTCAGATATTCCCCCCCTCCGTGCATAGATTTCAGCTCAGCTTTTTTTGCCTTCAGTGTTTGGGAAACAACAGGCCTTATTTCCCAGAATTCCCTGTCCTCAGAGAAGCCACCATGACAAAGGATTCATACCTTCACTGCATACTCCTTGTTAGTAATGAGATTAACACAGGCCTGGACTTTTGCATGTGCTCCTTCTCCGAGGACCTCTTCTTGGAGCTGGTAAACATCTGGATGTGGCGGCAGAGAGAGAAAGGTAGGGAGAGAAAGAATATTCCAAAATCAGTCTTTCAACAGTATTCAAACAGCACGTCCGCTGATCTGAGGGAAAACCCACAAAAGGCCGAAAAATGCAAAGCTAACTATTCCAGAGTTCACTCACATCGAAGTTCTTCTAGTTTCTAGTTTTGTTTCAACAACTGTAGCTTCAGAGTTTCTAAACAACACCAAACTAATGGGATCAAAGTCAACAAATCCAACCCCCAACTCAATGCAAGATCATAATGAAACCTCCTCCACCAATTACTGTATTTTTCAGAGTATAAGACATTCCGAAGTATAAGGCGCACCTAGCTTTTGGGGAGGCAAACAAGAAAAAAAATCTGACTCTGCCTCCCAGCAATTTGCAGCAAACAGCCAGTTTCAGTTTCAGTACAGCCTGATAAGCACAAGCAGCTGATTGTTGAGCCTCCCGAAGATCAGCTGTTTCAGGCTGCAGGGATTGCCATAGCCTATTGCTGCCTTCGCACACCCCATTTTTGGCCTGTTCCGGGTGGCAGGGATCGGAATGGGCGGAAAACGGGACAGAGGCCAAAAATGGAGCACGTGGAGGCTGCAATAGGCAATCCCTGCAACCTGAAACAGTTGATGGTCAGGAGCAGAGGTGGGTTCCTACCGGTTTGGACCGGTTCAGGTGAACTGGTAGTGGTGTGCCAGCCTGGGTCGCAGAACCAGCAGTGACCCAGGCTGGCCATATCACCGAACCGGTTTCCTGGTCACCGGCATCTTTTTTGGGGGTTCTGCGTGTGCGCAGAACAATTTCCATCGAAGTGCACATGCGCGGACAGCACACACATGAAGCGCACGCACGAGTGAACCGGCAGTAATGCTGGCTAGAACCCACCCCTGGTCAGGAGGCCGATCCAACCGACAATCAGCTGCTTGTGCTAATCAGGTTGTGCTGAAGCTGAAACTGGCTGTTTGCTGTTTTCTCCAAGGAGGCAAATTGCTGGGAGTCAGAGGCCAAAGGGTGGGGATCGGCGGGTGGGCGGGGCTACATTTGATGTATAGGATGCACCCAAATTTTCACTCTCCTTTAAGGGCCAAAAAGTGTGCCTTATACTCTAAAAAATATGGTATTCTCCAGTCTCTGTTTAAAGACATCCAGGGAAGTAAATGGTTCTACTCCGAAGTTACTTTAACTATGAGGGGAAATATATTGTGACAATCAGCAGGATGCTTAGCAAATGACTCAACATTGAGGAAGGAGTAAGACAAAGGAGTGTCGCGTACCTTTGCTTGTTTAATGTTTCTTGGTGTACAAGTACGTGTGATCTTAAGAAGTTAACTTGATGGGGATATTGTGCTGTTGTTTGAAAACATTTCCTGAGAATCCCAAAGGTGCTTTTTCAAGAGGCAACTGGACTTTCTGTTTTTTTTCTTTGAAGAAGTTTCGCTTCTCATCCATGAAGCTTCTTCAACTCACAAGCTTCTTGGATGAGAAGCGAAATGCCTTCAAAGGAAAACCAGAAAGTCCAGTTACCTCTTGAAAAAGCACCTTTAGGACAACCATGAGCTCAATGGCTGAGAATCTCCATAGACATTTCCTGAAAATGGCGCCTTTCCAGGATGCAACAAGCAAGGAATGATCTGAAGATCGATGTTATCAAAATAGCTGGGTCTCATAATTATAAACTCACTGTAAAAAAAAAAAAAAACCAAGCTCAAGTTAATGAATCTGGGCTCCCTGGCCCAACGTTTACGGGAAAATGAATAAAATGTAAGCATGCAAACATTAGTAGAAATGTTGTGGGAAGTTTGTAGTCTTTGGCAAGGAATTTTTTATTTTATTTTGTCAAACCAAGTGAAAAGCACATAGAGAATGGCTCTGTTCACTTTGTTGCATGGAAGTAGGGTAGGTCAGGAGAAGCACGAATTTAAGGTGAATGTGGTGAGAATAGATTGTCATGGGTGTGTACTGAAACACAACCAAGAAAAGGTCAAGGATGAGTAAGTTCCAAATTAACTGGATTGAATACAAAAGGGAGTGACCCGCACATTGACATCACACAGACAACAAATGAGAACTCAATTGCAAACACAAAATACACAAAGAAAGGCTGAATGGGC